ACAATCCACACATTAGACCTCAGGGGAGGTGGACTTGGAGCTGTACTTATCTTCCAGCACGTTAAAGGGGTGGTAAAATAAGAAAGAGAAACTGCCCCAATGTGTCAGGGGGATTAATCCATCACCTGTTGAGGTACTGAGCCACACAAACCAGATAGCGATTTTTTTTTGTTCGCACTGGAGCTTAAGGCAATTCGGTCTTTGTATCTTAGTGAACACTTTGCCCATTGCTGCGTAGCCTGGCCGTTTGGCCTTGATTGGGACATCTGTGCGTGAGATAGAGGGAGGGGAATGAGCTGCAATGTGAAGCGAGCTCCTCTCAGACTGTACAAATCTCTGTAACAACAATAAGCAAGTACAATATTTTGCCTCCGCGACAGAGAAAACATGTTACAATTCTTTGGGAAAGTTGAATTCTCCCTTGCAGCTTAAACATTATCTCGACTGTGTATTCTAACAGTAAGAAAGGGAAGATAATTTCGACCTAAACGGTTTCAGAATATTTAGACATCAGTAGGATATTGTGAAACTCCTGAGGCCTGAAATTCCACTTAGTCTTGGCCTGGAGGGCTAATTTCCTCTTAAAAACTCGAGAATTGTGGAAGGTTCTGAAATTCAGTCTTCATTTCAACAATGCTTAAGAAGGTTGTCGGGTGCAAATCCACGACCACATTTGCAACTGAATATAACATGTTATTGCACTGAACTGTTCCTCGGGTCAAGTGTTCTGGGGTGCTACCCTGCATGAGGGGCGTGATGTAAATGCAAGTTGTTGTTGTTATTTGGCAACAGTCACCGTCACAGACTCACTTGTTGCAAAATACAGTCAATTCACTTTACAGTATAATTCTTTGAAGCCCTTTGAGACGTCTCGAAGACATGATAAGGTGATGTATCAAATACAAGTACTATTATTATTAGCCCCAAAGCCACCTCAAAGACCTGCCTTGCAGTAGGCAGACATATTGGCCATCTAGTTTCAAAGGGAAACTGATGGAAGTGAACCAATGTAGACGGCCATAACTGTACCTGAACCCTGTTGATGTGAGTGAGTGAGTGAGTGACCGAGAAGACAACGCAGTGGTTTAGAGGGTTAACGCTCTGCAGCTAGAGTTCCTTGTGGAAGGTTTGATGGATGAGCTTGTTATACCCTTGTCAAGGTGAGCTGGGATCTGTTTTGTGTAACTGAGGCTGGGATGTGTCAGCCCATGGCTCCAGGTGCTTAACTTAATGTGCTCATCAGCTCGTTGCTATTCACTCCCCCTCTCCCCCCCCTCCTCACCTCCCCACCCCATCCCACCACCTGCCCCAGGATACAAGAGCACCTCCTGATAAAAACTCTTCATTTGTCCTCCTTCCTGGGTGAAGCTGGCAGAGCAACAGTGAGAGAATCACCTGGGGACAGACACGCAGACAACGGCTGATTGGATCCTCCAATATTCTAATCCTATTTACAATACATTGGCTTTATCTGACATGCCTCAGTTGGCCATTGCTGCTGGCTGTTGTGGCTATGTGAGTGGGGTTACTCCTGCAGAATGTCGCTTCCCCCCCCTACCACCACCACCACCGCTGCCGTAAGTAAGTGAGAAGAGACTGATTGATCCCGTGATGGATTTGGTGTGTTCCTACCCCCACATGCCTGCCCAGAAATTTATCACAAATCTGCTCGGAAGAAAAAAAAATGACAACCTCGAAGCTATATTTCACTCGCTCGCTTGTGGTTTGTGTAACTTACCAAGAGAACGTTAGAAATAGTCAAGTCCCAGGGCGATGGGTTTGTGTCAGAGGACAATGAAGGTTACGTAAATATTCCTGAGTCTAACGTAACAAGCTAAGGCACTCATCTTTCTGCCCAAATTCCCCACTTACACACAAGTCTTCGTAGTTGCTAGGTGATCATGTTGAAAGCAAGTGGAGTCCTGCAGCTCTCAGTGGTTAGAGCGCCTCGTCTCGCAAGTGAGAGCGCTCGCCTCGCAAGTGAGAGACCTGGGTTCAATTCCGGGCAGGGAGAAACCTTGGGCAAGTATACTTACTCCACTCGCCTGATAATAATCCCTCAAGAAAGCAACGCAATATTAAAATTGGTCACTTCAATCCATGACTGTTTGCGCGCAATTGGCTGCCGCGTTTCGTCCACAAATACTTTAAAGTATATTCCGTGAAGCGCTTTGAGACGTCTAGACGTGAAAAGCGCTATATCAAACGCCAGAATTAGTACGACAGGCTGACGGGACCTCGGGTTAGTTAACATCTTATCTCTGACATAGCAGGGCTTCCCCCAGCACCACACAAGAGTCTCAGCCTGGACTGAATGTGTATCATTTCGAACCAGAGGCCATAAATTTCAGGCCAATGAAGACGGTGATCTTTTTCAAAGAGAGATAAATCTGGCATGATGGGCAAGTGGCTTCTTTCTGCAGTGTACTATTCTATGATTCGAACCCAGCTGGTATTATTGCTGAAAAAGGATTGAAATGAACACTGGCGAAGCTCTGAAATAAAGCCTCCATACAGCATCGATAAAACGCCATGTTACTGTCTGCCTCGGTGTGGCCAGACTACACAGAACTGCAGGTGAGAGAATTATCAGTTGACACGACGAGAGGAAAATATTGAGCCAAACTACCATTTGAATTGAGTTCGCTATTTATCAGAGACCTCAAGTCTCGATGAGGATTGACATGCATTTTTTTTCACAAAATTGGTCTATTTCCCAGCATTAAAGCTCTTAAAAATCATTTTGAAATATACAGTACTTACTATGTTTCCTTATGAATGTTCCACCCGTGTTTTTTTGTTTCAGAAACCGTCACAGGGCGATTTTACAGATAAAGCTCGTTCAGAGAGTCTACGTGAACATAACAGATTACCGTTATGAATTGGAACAAATGATATGTCTCCCTCATGTTGCGTCAGAGGTGATAATGTAAAGGTTTTGGGTCACTCAAGAGAGACGGTCGCTTTGAGACGTCTCAAAGACGTGCAGAGGCACTATATCAAACGCAAGGATCCTTATTATAAATTCGAACCAAGTGTAAAATGTTTTAGAAGAGTTGGATCAAATTAACTCAGGAGCTACACCACAAGGGGAGGGTCTGAACCTTATCAAAAGAGGATGTTTAGCGTTGGATAATGGGGTATCTGAGTCAGTTTGGGTGGGAATCGGTGACACAAAGGAAGGAAATGAATAAATGGGATTCGCTAAAGACCAGCCGGGAAAGAGGAGGAATTTAGACGGAATTATTCGAACGAGTGCATCAGGAAAAGGGAGGGCCGTCATTACATGGGCGGGCAGGAGAGAGAATTATTGCAGGGTGGGATTTTATCCACCCTGTGCTGTAATTGACTGGGAAGGAATCACGAGGGAATTGGAATGAGGAAGGTCGGGGAGGGATTAGATCTCATCCTTCCAGAATTCATCTTCCTCCCTTTCGTTGTCCATTGAGAATTGAACATAGGAACAGGCCATTCAGCCCCTCGAGCCTGTTCCGCCATGCGATAAGATCATGGCTGATCTGTACCTCAACTCCAATTTACCAGCCCTTGCCCCGTATCTCTTGATACCCTGACCAACAATCTATCCACCTCCTCTTCCCACCCCCCACCCCACCCCTTCCATCCCCATATCTACTCTCTACCCAAAAAGATCGGGGAAAAAAAGTGCATCAAACCAAGAGTTAACTTAATAATAACGATAACAATAATAAATAAAAATATCTGTGTGACGGCGTCCAACATTGGACCAGATTTCAGTGGGGGGGCAAATGTGCCTTTACTACTGTCCCGAGTTGGGATGGCAATCCTGGGATCTGGCGGATTTGGGACCATCACCACACGGGATCATCAAAAGACGGGGTTTCTGAGTCGGTTTGGGGCGAGAATCGGCGACACAGAGGGAGGGAATGAGGAATCGGGAAGAACGGAAGAGCGGTTGGGAGGAAAGAGGAGGAACTGATATGGAATTATTTGAACAAGTGCAGCGGGAAAAGGCCGGAGAGGGATCCTGGGCTTCCGGGAGTTCTCCGTGTACCTGGGCAGAGTGGGGGAGGGGTTGCCGCAGGTACGCGGAGGGGAATGGACACAGGACGACAGGTGTGAGGGTACAGGAGGGTGGAGGGGCGGGTGGGAAGAGGGAGGATCTAGGAGGCTGGCAGTGCGGATACTCGGATTATACGGGAGATGTGGATATGGAAAGATATTGGAATACGGGAGGGTGCGGATACGGAGGGGAGGAGGGGGGACGGAGGGAAGGGGGGCGGCGAGGGTGCGGATACGGAGGGGAGGAGGGGGGGCACGGGAGGGTGCGGATACGGAGGGGAGGAGGAGGGGGCGCGGGAGGGTGCGGATACGGAGGGGAGGGGGGCGGGAGGGTGCGGATACGGAGGGGAGGAGGGGGGGGGGGTGCGGGAGTGCGGATACGGAGGGGAGGAGGAGGGGGCGCGGGAGGGTGCGGATACGGAGGGGAGGAGGGGGGGGAGCGGGAGGGTGCGGATACGGAGGGGAGGAGGAAGGTGCGGATATGGAGACGTGTTGGATGCGGATACGGGGGTCAGGTGAAGGCCCCCTCCCCCCCCCCTGAGGTGGCCGCGGTGAATGCCGGGGCCGCTGCCGGGACTGAAGCCGCTGCTACGGGTACCGGCGGCGCCGCGCGGGGGGTGAGAGGGGAGAGGGCGGAGGGGGTGACACCGAGGCCGAGACCCCGGAGCCGGGACAGGACAGGACAGGACAGGCCGGGGGGGGCCGGGGGGGGTCCTCAGGCCGCCGGTGCTGACGTGTTGCTGAGAGAGACACCGAGCGAGAGAGAGGCCGCGGCTCAGCCCGAGCACCAGGCCCCGAGCCCCGGCCTCCCCGGGACCCCCTCCCCAGGCCCCGGGCCCCGAGCCCCGGCCTTCCCCGGACCCCAGGCCCCAGGCCCCGGCCTCCCCGGGACCCGCTGCCCAGGCCCCGAGCCCCGAGCCCCGGCCTCCCCAGGCCCCGAGCTCCGGCCTCCCCCGGACCCCCTGCCCAGGCCCCGGGCCCCGAGCTCTGGCCCTCTGACGGCCGCCGGGATGGACGCCCTTTATCATCAGACCAACAAGTAAGTGTCCGGGGGGGGAGTGGGGGGTCACTGAGGTCAGGACCAACCGGGACATCAGCTCAGCCCCGACCCCCTCACCCCCTCTCTGTCACTGTCTGTGTCTCTGTGTGTGTGTGTGTGTGTGTCTCTGACTGTGTTTGTGTGAGTGTTTCTCAGTGTCGGTCTATATCTGTGTCTGTGTGTCTCTGTGTGTGTGTCTGTGTCTCTGTGTGTGTCTCTCTGTATCTGTGTGTGTCTGTACGTGTGTGTGTGTGTGTCTGTATCTCTCTCTGTGTCTCTGTCTGTGTGTGTCTGTGTGTATGTGTCTGTGTCTCTGTGTGTGTCTCTCTGTATCTGTGTCTGTGTGTGTCTGTACGTGTGTGTGTGTGTATCTGTCTGTATCTGTATGTGTCTGTCTCTGTGTCTCTGTCTGTGTGTATGTGTGTGTATGTCTCTATCTGTGTCTGTGTGTGTCTGTATCTCTGTGTGTGTGTCTGTGTGTGTCTGTCTCTGTGTCTCTGTGTCTGTGTCTGTGTCTGTGTGTGTCTGTGTCTCCGTGTGTGTGTGTCTGTCTCTGTGTCTCTGTCTGTGTGTATGTGTGTGTATGTCTGTGTCTGTGTGTGTCTGTATCTCTGTGTGTGTGTCTGTGTCTGTGTGTGTCTGTATGTATCTCCATGCGAGTGTGTCTGTGTCGGTCCATATCTGTGTGTGTGCGTGTCTCTGTGTATGACTATATCTGTGTGGGTGTGTGTCTCTGTACCTCTGTGGGTGTGTGCGTGTATGGGGGAGGGGGCTCTCTGTCCGTGAGCGTCTCTGTGTCTCTCTCTCTCACTGTCTGTGGGTGTGTGTCTCCCTCTACCTCTCTCTGTCTGTCTGTCTGTCTTGTGTCTGCACCAAATTTCTGTCTGGTACAAATCGGCTGCCACATCTGTGCACTGTAACCAACGCTCACTTCAGTTCGAGTTAATCTTATTCATAAAGTTCTTTAGCCTTATTTTCTAAAGTGGTTTGAGATGTTTCCTTTACGTGAAAAGCGCCGTATAAATAATAATCCTTGCATTTGATCCAGTGCCCATAATATTAATAATAATAATAATAATAATCCCTGCATTTGATATAGCGCCTTATTGTCTTCGAGACGTCTCAAAGCGCTTCACAGGATTTACTGCGGAGTGAATTGACTGTGTGTTTTCTGGCACGAAATGACTGAACTCACTTCACACGGGTAAATGCTGCCAAGTGATGTGTATTTGTCGGTCCCTCGAGCAGCCTATGAGGTAAACGACCAATTTATCTGGAGGATTGTCGACCAGGATACCGGGGGAAAAAAAACTCCCAAAATACAAGTCGTTATTCTAGAATCAAAATTATTGAACTATTCTCCGCCCCCCCCCCCCTCCCCCTCTGTTAAAAAAACAGGAAACCGGTAATCCACGTCTCAACTGGACTGCGGTGTGGATGCATATGTTTTAATCAGTGCCAATATAATAATAATCCTTGCATTTGGTATCAGGCTCACTGCTTATTATAGTCACAGATTTAGCCTGGAATAACTAGGCTAACGCTCAGTTTATTCACCATCTTCAAAAAAGATTAATGGTCACTCAATCCACGACTGTTTGTGGGGCACAGCTGGGAACAATTGGCCCCCACGTTTCGCCCACACAACGCACGGTCAATTCACTTTACTGTGAAGCGCTTTGAGACGTCTCGACAGCGTGAACAACTCCCTGATTTTTTCAACCAGTTCATCAGCAATTGTCTGGGTTTGAGACAAAAGATACTACGACCGCTGTTAAAGCGGAGAGTTTGGGCTTCTGTAATCAAATAGTAATCAAATAATCGTTTACTTTATTTGGTGTGGGATTCTTTTGTTTAAAGAAGCACTGGTTGGTGACCTCACCAGGAAACTGACGGGGATGGGAAATGAGTGGGTCACACAGGGCGAGGAACTGAATTTCCACTGAAGGGTAACACTGACTTCGCACCTCGCCCAGCGGCCTGGCCATTCGAACAGCAGCAACTGGTGATCATATAGGGGGCTTCATGGGAACGAGCATCTCAAAGCATTTGACCAAATGTGCACGCTGGATGCACATCAGGGAAAGAAGATAATTAAAGATGTTAGTTTGCCAAAGGCACAGTTGAAGAGTTGCAGTTTTAGGAGGCAGGGAGAGAGGTGGCAAGGCAAAGCTGTTTTTGGGAGCCTGCCAAAGGACAAGTGGAGTCCTGTAAAGTATTGGTTAGAGCACTTTAAGCAAGTTTCCTTACTCCACATGCCTCTGTTTACCTGGCAGTGAGTAGGAACCTGGTGGTCAGTTGATTGGCAGATCACTTTTCCGGGGGTAATAAATCCTTCCACACGAAAAAAGTATTTTCAAAAATAATGTGGTCACTCAATCCACGACTGTGCACAGTTGGCTGCCGCGTTTCTCCTACGCAACATACACAGTCGATTCACTTTACAACATATTCTGCGAAAGGCTTTGAGACGTCTTAAAGATGTGATGAGCCTCTTTATCAAATGTAAGGATTATTATTATTATTATTATTAGCCAGAAATTCAATCTCCGGGTTTGGACTTTCATAAATCACTTTACTTTGTTCTCATTTTTGCTCTTGGAACTGTTTGATTGAAACACGTTCCAATACAACTCGCTGCCAACCTCGAGTTGCCTGTGTTACCTTTAATCTTCAGAGAGGTTCGGCCTGGATCCTGCCAGTACCTGGCTTATCCCTCGGGCCCTTTGCCCCCTTGTAGTTTGTGCTCACCTCAGCTATCTGAAGCAGGTATTTTTATTGCCCGCCTGAGGCTGCTGCGACTTGTCTTCATTTACAGAGATTCGATTCACTTTTAATTGCTTTCATTCCTCGCGAGCTGTAAATCAAGCGGGTGAAGCGATAAGCGAAACAAGCACTTCTTGTGCTGAACGGTGAGGACGGCGGTGATTTTTAAAGCGATTCTTGGCTGGGACCAGAAAGCAATCGCTTGCCCCAATCAGGTGTTGCCTGTCCTTGATACCGTTGCAGGCTACGTGTTTAGGAGAGTTGGAGCAATACGAGCTGTTCAAAGCAGAGCTGACTTGTACATCCTCGACAATATCAGTGCCTCGCATCTCAAGGTGCTCGGTGATGGGTGTTAATGAAGGATTGCACGGCTGGATTTCTGTGCTCTGACTTCAGCAGGTGTCTTGTGAAGGGAGGGGGTGGGGTGGGGGGGGCACTCCTTTTCCTAATGTTAATAGTGAGTCTGTTATAACATCCCACGATCTGCAGCAGCTGATGGAAAAGATGTTCCATACAGGAAGCTCCAATGGACCCTCCTTGCTCTGCCTCACATTGCAGATTTGCATCGTTCTTTCCACTCGCTGCCTGCTATCTCTCACTGTGAGAGCTCAGCCTCTCCTGGTGCCCTTTGCTGTTGTTCAGGCTGGGCCTGGGCTACTCGGGGGCAGTAACAGGAAAAATAATCTTTCCTCTCGCAGGCCCAGCCTGAGTCGGTTTACAGATACTGTAGATGAGATGCTAACCACCCATTTCCTCTCCCTCTTCCCCCCCCCACCCCCCCTCCGTACATAGGCAGATTCACGAGGTGCAGACTCACATGGGGCGGCTGGAGAAGGCAGACCAACAGTCTGTTCACTGTGAGTATCTAAACAGAGCCAGGCTGGTGCCAAGTGGCGGAGGCGACGGGGCGGGGAGAGGCCGTGCCAAGGGAAAGAATGTCCTTGTTTTTATAATAGCGATGGGTTCCTGACGTCACAAGTCACTGGGTGGTTTCTCAGGATATGTCTGCCTGCAGGAACAGGATCCTGTCGGCCTTTTTATTTTCGTTTTATTCAACAAAAACATTCCATACAAATGTTTGAAGACGTCTTTCCCCCCTTCCTCCACCACTCCTCCACCACCCCCTACCCTAAAAGATTTGTGATTCCGCTGGGATAATAGTTCCTAAACTCTCAAGAGATAAAAGGGGGAATCTGTAAATGGTGATAAACGTGTAGTGGTCAGTCAGCACCTTTCAGAACCGCTTTCTCCCACGTGGGTTCGGTCGTGTATTTTAAACTGTCCGGTCACACAAACAAATCAGCTGTTCGTCCTGTCACAAGACGCCAGCGCAATGATTTAAGAAACGGCTTGATGCCACAATGAGAGGACGGTAGGACAGATTTGTTGGGGAAGATGAACGCAAATGGGCCAAAGGGACCTTCTTCATCTGAACCTCTCTTATGACGGTGTGAACAGCAAACACAAACTATCTGTCCAAGACCGAGGTGCGTAGATATCTGTTAGGTCAGGGTATCGAGGGATACGGGGCAAGAGTGGGTAATTAGATTTGAGGTACAGATCAGCCATGATCTTATAGAATGGTGGAACAGGCTCGAGGGCCTGAATGGCCTTCTCCTGTTCCTATGTTCCTATGTGAAATCACCAGACGAATGGTTAACAGCAGTACTGTGATATCAGTGAGTTTAGCGTATTAAACCTTGACCATTTCTCGCGTTTCTTTTTCTTTGTCTCATCGACGATGACGATTGACCTGGCGATTGCGTTGAGGCTGCAGTGGTGGAAAACGAGATCCAAGCAAGAATCGATCAGATTTTCAGCAACTTGGAGCGACTTGAAATACTGACCAGCAAAGAGCCTCCCAACAGACGACAGAACGCCAAGCTGTAAGCGTTTGAAGCATTTATAGCTTGAAGGTTAAAATGAATAAGAAATGTCGGAAAAGTTCTCTTGGTATAGCTAGCCAGTCCGTGCTATGAAAGGTCAAGTTTATTTTTAACAAAAAATACTGCAATCGCCCTACACGCAACTTACATTTTGATTGCTGTACAAACGTGTATTAAACCAAATCAATATTTTTGTTTTGGCCAAAAATATACAGTCAATCCACTTGACAGTATATCCTGTGAAGATCTAGAAGACGTGCAAAGCGCTATATCAAATGAAAGGATTATTAGTAGCAGTATTATGAATTGCAGGGAATTCAGAATTCCACCTGTTTTCTAACCACCTCACATTGTAATTCCAATCGCCGCGTTTCGCCCACAGATATACGATCAATTCACTTTATAGTGAAGCGCTTTGAGACGTCTAGAAGACATGAAAAGCGAGTATATCAAATGCAAGGATTATTATTATTGTTGTTCACTGTAGTTGAAATTGAACCTGATCCCAGCTTGGGTCTGAAATGCTGTTCACTGTCCAGCGCCTTGAGACGTCCTCCTGACGTGAAAGGCCCTATACAAATTTAATCTTGTTGTTATTGCTGCTGCTGCTGCTGTTGTTTTGATGGTTTTCAGAACCTCTCTTTTGGGCAGATGTTTCCCAGAGCCGGCTGTTCTTATTTTAGTGCTTGAGTGGAATATTTCTAATTGATTCAAACAAAAACGCTGTGTTAAACTCTCTTCTCCATAGTCGTGTGGACCAACTGAAATACGACTGCCAGCACCTGCAGACAGCTCTGAAGAACTTCCAGCATCGACGATATACCCGTGAGCAACAGGACAGGGAGCGAGAGGAGCTACTGTCACGTACATTCACAACCAACGTAAGAGCTTTCACTCACTGCTCGGTCTGGTTGATGCTGGATGTAGGGTGGCTGGTGGAGTGCTTCAAGCACTGGAGAAGCCAGTACTGTGTGTAAGCTGCGGTAGGACAGCATCCCCACATGGTGAGGTATACACCTGGAGGGCAGGTCAGAGCAACGACACCCATCTCCAGCTCACTCCCTACACCACAACTTTCACGAGGGGCTCCGAGCAATTGGACACTTTCCCATCCACCAGGCCTCAATTCAGTCGGCACTTCACAAATAGCCAATAGTACGTACGCCTGCCTTTGGCAGCGAGTGTTGGCAAGAGTATTCTACTGTGAGACATAGTGTAGCCGTAATGTGCCCGTGTGTGGAGTTTCGCTCTTGTCTGATAATAGCCATGCCCTCGCTCCCTCTCCCCACACTCCTCCCCCAACACACAACACTCAGACGTACATACACACAAACAAATGCTACCTGATAAAAATTGGGGAGCAGCCCGAATAACCTTTGACCAAATAACCTGGCACCTTTGCCAAAAGAAGTGGTTACTTACAAAGGGAAATGCTCAACGGCCGATTTGATTCGCTGAAGAATCCGGTTTGGATAATGAGGACCTCCCTATTTTTTATGCAGGACGCCGATACCTCAATAGCAATAGACGAGACCTTGCAGTTTAACACTTCTTTACACAATGCACACAGAGGGATGGACGATCTTCTGGGGAGCGGGTCCTCTGTACTGAATGGACTGCGGGAGCAGAGGATGACACTTAAGGTGGGACAATACAAAACGTGCAGGATCTCTAAAGAGGCTTGTTCTTTGTAAGCCTCGTGCTTCTGAATTTCCTTCGACAGGAATATTCCAGCTGAATGTCTAACGCTGGGTATTTCTATCTAATGAGGGAATCCTGTAGCTCAGTGGTTGGAACCGTCGCCTCGCAAGCGAGAGGACCTGGGGTCGATTCCCAGGCAGGGCGAAACATTGGACAAGTTTCCTTACTCCAGACGCCTCTACGACTCTGTTGATTTAGCAGTCAATAGGAACCCAGCTGTTAGTTGATTGGTGGATCTCTTTTCTGGGGATAATCCTTTAAAAAAAATAGTAATAATAATAATTTGGTCATTCAATCTACCACTGTTTGTGGGACGCTGCTGTGCACAATTGGCTACTGTGTTTCGCCCACAAAATATACAATCAATTTACAGTCTATTCTGTGAAGCGCTTTGAGACGTCTCAAATGTATAAGGCGCTATATCAAATGCAAGGATTATTATTATTATAGTGTGGAAATGGTGCAAATGGAGCATTTAAAAAAAAATGTGGATTTTGCTTGCTGTTGAAGGAGGAAAAAGAGGTGTTTCCAGAGGTTAATCAGTTCATGATTGTGGACTGGAAAAAGTCTTCCCAGTTCCCTGAAGCGCCTGTGAGAATCTGGTTTCATTTGCTCGGCCGGCTGCGCGTGTTTGTTCACCGTGTTCAGTTCATTTCTTCCTCCCTCTCCCTCTGTGGCCTTTTCCTCTATCTGTGCCGACAGTCAGTGAGAAACGTGTGTGTGTGTGTTTTTTTATCAGAGGTGTGGTCCCTGGGAACTGGGGAACCGACGACGACAGAGCTAAGAGAATCGCAAGGCAGGCTTATTCTATCAGGGCGTGCAGAATTCAATCAGTCAGCACGATCTAAAATCTCCCCTCTGCTGTAAAACGTCCACATGTCATAGGAATAGCACTGGTGTGTACACTTTAGTTGTTTTAACTTGACAGTGTGGGAACTGCGGCTTGTCTGGGTTTTTCTTTAACATTCATCCCATCCAGTTGACTGGACTTACTTGCAGCTGTGAGATTGGTTATTTGGGATCCTTTCTCGCCAGTCACAGAGCTGGATTTCGGGTTCCCAAGCTGTCAGACTCCTGCCGTCAACCCCAACATGGCTGCCCACGCAGCCAGGCATCTGTGTGTCCTTGAAGTGTTTTCACAGCCTCAGAAGTGACCCAAGTTCATAACCGTCCGTCTAAGCGAGAGAGAGAGAGATTGCATGATGGCTTGGTGTCTTTAAAGTAAAAGTTTGCTAATTAACCGTGAACTGCTGGTGCACAGACTTAGTTTTCTGTTGGGTTTGAGGGTGTTCATTTACAGCAGCAGCAGCAGTTTGCGTTTATATAGTGACCTTCACACAGGGTAGTGTCCCAGAATGCTCCGACTTACCCCTCTGATCTCCACTGTTCTTTCATTGTGTATCAAAAGTAGTCTTGTTAGCAAATAGAATTTTTTTTCTCCCCCCCCCCCCACCACCACCTCTCTCTTTCTTTCTCTCGCTGCCCCCACCCCCCTCCCACCCCTTTATTTATATTAAGGTCCCCCATTGTAGCCCACAGACATGCAGGTGTCCACATTCTTGGTGTATATCAGTATCTCTTTGTCACCCACCACCAGGAGGTGTGAAAGACCCAACTTTTCTTCACTTCTTCTTTCTTTTTTTCCCTGTCTTATTGTGGAGACCCATCAAGCTGGAGCTACTGCTGTCTATTTGCCCTCCCTCCAGCCCCAACAGTCCAAATCTGAAATCCCCAAATAACTTTTGACAAATGTAGATTTTGGTCAGCTCTTAAGAAACAAAATTTACCGGTGGATACAGGGCGACCATGTTGTAAGACGGGTTTGTTTATAAATCCAGTTAGTTTCCGGCGTGGATGGGCCGGCTTCCTGCGCGCTGAAAAATGACCGAGCCGTCAGGTCGTCGCTCGATCACTTCCTGCGTGGTGTCAGCGGCGACCCCAAATTCGGCCATTTTGTGCTTAGAATGAGTGTGACATATATCTTCACAACAAGACACCCGTTTTATTTCATAGTTCCTCTTAAGCGTGTATTTTAAACGTTGAGCAGGAGGTAGAGGAATGAAGATTGTGTCTTTTATTTTAGATGAAGTTTCTGACTTGTATAATTGTGCGTTTGATTGTCGTTTGCTTGCCCTGTGCTGCGCTACTGTTATCTGAGCACTTGAGTGTTGCAGATTAGAATTTCTCAGAGCAATAACGGTGTCAGCGGGGGGTGGGGGGAGGGTTGGATTCCTCTACAAAGAATTGGAAGTTATTTTATTCTTTAAGCACATGCAGATCCGTAGATAACTTTTATGTTGAGGGTATATCGAGTTCCGTAATTGAATTTCAAGCAAGAATGAAAGATTTGGCAAAATTCGTTTCAACAGCAGGAAGTCGGCAAATTGATTTACTTAATGACCTCATTCTGCTGATGACTGAAGCAATTGAGCAGATGAGGCAGAGAGCGAGCAGCGTTACCGAGTCGGTTCTGCACCACGTTCAGGATACACAGCTGTTGGAGGCAGAGAGAACCACTGGATTAATTCCACACTTCAAGGAATAGAGCGCTGAGGGGAGACTGGTTGCTCTATTCTCTCTACTCACTACAATTTACAGTATATTTTGTGAAGCACTTTGAGACGTCTCAAAGACATGATAAGGCGCCATATCAAATGCAAGGACTATTATTATTTTTAGTTCAAGTTTTCCGATTTAAGACTTGAGTTTAATAGGATTTTTCCCCAACTTCTGCATCTTAAATTCAAAGACAAAAGATCTTAAATGCTTAAAAGGCTGTTTCTCTTTAGAGATCCATGGGCTGAAAACAACAGCTTTGTGTTGAGTAGTTCCACTTGTTCACTTGTCTTTGACCAAGATTATCCTTCATAAGAATGTTCCTGGGAGGTCGTGATCATTTCAGTTCTCTGGCTCTGTCGATGCTTTCTTCTCGATTTCAGTCCAGGCTTCTCTAAAACGTGCGTCTCCTTCCATTACAGGGAGCCCAGAAGAAGGTGTTGGATGTGGCCAACATGCTGGGAATGTCTAATACGGTCATGCGGCTCATTGAGAAGCGGGCTTTCCAAGACAAGTTTATCATGATCAGTGGGATGGTTGTTACCTGCCTCGTCATGATCTTGGTGATCAAGTATTTAACCTGAATAGCGTTCGCCCTTCAGAAACCAGTCAGTATTTCCGGGAAGAGACTGTTTTTCCTTTTCTTTCGGAAGTTTTCTTTCAGACGGCCTACCCCCAATTTTGGGATGAAATACAGGCGGTTGGTCTGGACATGTGAACCTTTTTCACATGGTCAAGATATTGTGGATCAAACGTCAGTCGCTTTGATTAAAAACCTAACACTCCCAATGGTAGTAAAGTGCTAGGTACTAATTATTTCTATTGTCTCTTACCCATCTCTTAGTGCTGGTGGAGATGGTTCCTTCAACATTGTGGTAAAGTTGACTTTAATTGCGGTAAATTCAGCTGCACGAGAGAGAGAAAAAGCCACCTTAAGTAAGCTTGCTTTCTTTATCTCCTTCTCCAGCCCCTGAAACACGGTTATTCCAGGTGACTGAAATCAGAATCATTTCTTTTGAATCCAAATGTGGTGCATTAGTACATTCCCTGTCGCAGTCTGTCCCTCAGACCAACAGCCAGTGGCGAGGACTAGTCATCACTGACATGGTAAGGTGGTAGCTCATTCCTTCAATCCTTGATTTGCTGATCCCGGCCACCCTGAGAGTGGAGGATGGAGAGGAGGGGATCTGTTTCTTACCCTCCTCATGGGAGGTAAATTCAGGGGACATCCCCCCCCCCCCAAGTTAGCCCGAACATCCTGCCTTTCCTCTTGATTAAATAATAACCTTTCACTTTACAAATGTAAAAAACGTAAATAAATTACTCGTGGAAATTTTCAACTGTTGCTGTTTGAGCCTGAGTGTATTTAAGCCGGAGCCATTGCCTTGTTGCTTGTGATGCACTTGCTGGTGTAAGATGTCTCGCTTACAGTTTCTGATCCTGGGAAGAAGTCAGAAGATCATAGGTGCTGAGTCAGTTAGCCGGAGAGAATGAGTTGAGAGGAAATTGACGTTGCGAATCTCTCTCTGTTGGAACAAGATACGTGTGTAAAATCTGCAGTAAATGGGCACCTCAGTAAATAAGAGTGCAATAGGCTAGCCCCAGACTTAACAGCGAGGAGGTGCATGTTTCGAAACCTGATTCCCTTACTCTGTGCTAAGATCATGATTATCGAGCAAGTCACTCTTCCCTCTTACTGAAACGCGCAGCCACGTGTGAACGCAGCATGCATACCGTGGCCACGTGTTCTAAGATTTCCGTTTGGCAGTCGGGGCAGTTACCTCTGCTTCGAACTGAACCAAGCGGGTGTTCCATTTGAGCACCAGTCTCCTCAGTGAGTTAAAAATGTTATGTTTGTTCAACGTTCCAATGACTTCCTCTCCTCATCCTCTGGGCTGCTTCTATAACTGGAACCTGCTAGGATCCATCAGCATGATGAGCTGTGTGTTAACATTGCTGTACTTGGAACTCTTGTCAAACCAATAAATACAAATTGTTTTAATGGACTGTTGCTAAACTAGATGAAGGACTGGGTCTGCCGCCTGATTCCCGTCATCAGTTGAGTTAGAAACTGTATCTGGATGTATTTATTCACCTAAAAGATTGCTTGCTTGTTGTCTTTCAATCGGATTAAAACCTAGGTTAAATCTTCACTCCATAAGGCTCTTGCTGTCACTTGGCTGAGTTGGTTTGGTTTACAGAACAACGTTGGACCCTTTGGTTTGATGACTCATGTTTAAACTGCTGAACTAGCCACACTTTGTAGATCTTCCATTAACTCGCTTTACAACATATTTCAGATCGTTTTATTTAAAATGTTCGCTCCAATTGTGCAACCATGCTCCGGTGTTGAGCCAGGCAGACTGCTTAGTTGTGCCCTGGAGTGTCCTAAAGATCTGCCCGGCTCGGACATTGGTTCAGTAAGTCCAAACAGCGCTGACATTGGCTCCTCTCCAAACGGCCCCTTAAAAGTTCTTGAGTGGGTCCGTGACACTTCATGATCCAAATTCTGACACCATCGGAATCGCTCTGAATGTTCACGTTTTCATTTGTTGTGGATCTCCCGAGGAGAGTCTCCTCTATTTTTACCTTCCTAAACTTACCCAATAAAGGTCTGCGATGTCATGATCCACGGATGGGAAGAAATTACCCATCTGATTTACGAGACTGTGACAGTGATCCCTTCGGTCGTCATCCCCCTCTCCCACTTTCCCTCCATTTCATCTGGCCGACCCGTTCCCTCCCATAACCCATAAATGTGTTATGTTTTTGGAAAGGGAAACACAAAAATATTGCTCATGCGGCCCACAGATAGGGCATCCGGCCCTCAGCCCAGGAATTTTCCAAAGTGTGGGGTGGGCTATAAATAAACAGTGACCGATGGGGTGTTTTCACTGCGTGACCTTAGACACCTGCCAGCAATTTGGCAGAATTTTGTTTGGGGAAAAAAAGATAAAATGGAAAATTGTTAGTTTCCAAGAGGCTGAAAACGATTCCGGCAGAAATGTGGGCTTGGGAAGCTTTGGCCAGACATTGCAAATCCCGATCGGAATGGCCCATTTCCTGCCTCTTCTTTCACCTGAGACAATCTTCGCTTGTATTCTGCCAGAGTTCTAGTTGGACTCTATTGAGACAGTGTCCTCCCTTTCTCCAGTACAGTACAATACAATACAAAATTACACTTGTACAGTGCCTTTCATGTCGGGAGGACGTCCCAAGGCGCTGGACAGTCAGGGATTTGGACCCGAGCTGGGGGCGTCAGGAGCAGGGAGTGGAGAGGACAGGAGGGTGACCGAAGACTCAGTCGAAGAGGAGGGTCTTGAGACGGGTCTCGAAGGAGACCAGGGTCGCCCATTTGAACAGGCAGACAGGACTTTGGTTTAATGTCTCAGCTGAAAGGCAACAGGTTCGACGAGACAGTATGTCAGTCTGGCCTGTGAGGTCAAGGTAACCAACGTGGGACTTGAACCCGCAACCTTCCTGTCTCCGAGGTAAGAGTGCGATCCAGCCACTGAGCTGAACTGACACTTAAGAGTGGGAACAAATTGAACTTCAGTCTGCAGGAAGCAGATACTTTCACATTCTTCTCCAGAGAGAGAGAGACGTACATTTATCTTTGAGGTGAGTGTCCTCGGGATTCGGAGCAGCTCCCACCCCCCCCACCACCACACCTCCCAAAAAAAAATCTTTCCAATTGCATTAGCATCTCCCCAGCCTGAGGGGTCCTCTGGCGTGTTTGTTGCCACCCGCTTAGATGAAAGCTCCGGCTAGCCAAGTCCTGACTGGAGAGGAATTTGTCTTTATTTTGGGGATTAAAAACATCAATTACCGAGGATTGTAGAGTTAGCCACTGTCCTTCATCCAACAAACACGCTGCTGCTTTTCTGAATTGGGCAGTTCATAGGGTCAATACTCAGTGGTCTCTCGGCCACTAAGCTGTTAGGAGGGGGAATGCCTTTGAGTCACTCAGCCAGCTCCGGTTTGTGAAATGTGCATATATTAAGGCATTTCGTAGCTGAAGCTGATCACAAACCAGCCAGTGTTGCTTCTTATTCCTGTGTCTCCTCTCCCAACGATTGATGGATATGAATACAATACAATACAAGAGGTAGCGTTCAGTGTTGTAAAATAAGGATTCACTGGCTGACCCCCCCCTCCCCCCCTCCCCCTGCCCTCGCCCCTCCTCCAGCCCGACCCTCAGGGTCCGTAACTTGTCTGTCCAGCGCCTGGGGACGTTCTCCCGATGTGGAAGGCGCTAGACAAGTGTAATTTTGTTGTTGTTGTCGAATTAATCAGATGCTTGGATTTGTAGCCTCCAGACCGCCCAACACACCAAGCAGGGATTATTGTTAAGAAGTTGGTCAATTTATTTGAGGCCGGGCTAGCAGGATAGTTGAGCAGCTCCAGATACCCAAGGCACCGTTAACCATCTGCCTGGTTAGCAATCAGTTAGAAGGTCAAGTCATGTTCTCAACCCTGCCAGCCAAAGCTCCAGTGTAGGGTGGTCCTCGCTGAACAATTACCTGCACGTTGCTGGAAGGATTGTGTGCAACAGATACATCTATTCTTTCCTGTCATGTTGAGAAGTTTGAGCAGAATGGGGTGGGAGGGGAGAGAGTCTTGGGAGAGGGTCTGGGTGTTGAACCCTGGTTGGAGAGGAGATGACGTGGCCTCAGCCCACACAACGTGCCTTTATTGTTGGCTGTCACTAACTTTCTTAGTCAACGCATATCAACAACACAGGGTAGCTCAGGGATGGAGACCGGATCTGGGGAATAGTCTCTCCTATAATATCCTCTGTGATTCATTTCCAAACTGCTGTTATAAGATGCTTGTTTGTCTCGATTTGCTTCACAGCTTGCAATAAAAATCCACAAACTGTATAATAATTTTATACAGTAGGTTCAACGGAAGTACAATGCCTTCGAAACTGGCAGGAAATGGAAGCCTGAGTGACTATACCCGGGCCTTCCTGTTTGTCCCGTTTTTGTTTTGAGAATCTCTCTCTCCCGAACTCTTCTTGTTTTGAGAAAGTTTGTCGATGATTAATTAGCAGCCGATTTACGCAGAAGAGGGCATACGCGGAGCCAAGCCCTGTGTCTGAGCCAACGTCAATTTGTTCGCTGCAAAATCCTGAAACACACACACACACAAGCCCAGCCCAACTGAGAATAGCATTTGAGAGCCTTTCATCAATGTTGGATGTATTTTGTAATCCAAACATGTTTCTGATGTCTGTTTATCTATGGCAAACCCTGGCTCTCAACTATCTAAAGGTTAAAGATTGAGGGGAGGGTGGGGGGACAATTCAGAGACCTACAACAGACCTCAAATGTGTTCAGTGACCTTCCCGTCTTCCTTTGGAATATCTCAGTCATAGCAACAACAACTTTGTCTTGTATGGCACCTATATTGTGGTAATGAACATCTCAAAGTAGCTAACAATCTATTTATAAGAGCATCAAGCAGGGAGATTTGTAGTATTGATTGAGAGCATGGTTGAAGAGGTCTCTTATTAAGAGGGTTTTAAGGCAGAGGAAGCCGGATAGGAACATTTTGAAAGAGAGTTTAAGAGGGCAGGGTGGCTAACGGCTCACCTACAAGTGATGAGTGTCAGTACACCAGAGTGGGACGAGCAGAGAGGGAGCCAGTACCTGGCTCTCCGTAACATCTGAAACTTATCAGGCGAGTTAAAAGCAATGTTATTATAGTTGCAAAGGCCAGGATTATTTATTACTTTTGCAATGCACATTTTAGGTTTTTAATATTGCAATTTTTTTAAGAATTAACTTTCTTCCCTGGCTATTTTGTCCAAACAAACCTGGGGTGATGGGAGGAGGGTGAAATCCCACTGGTTGGTAAATTATATGGAACTTGTACTTCGAACGAGATTAGCTTTAAGCTTTAAGCCTATTGTCATGCCTCTGAACGTAGGGCTTGAGGTATGGCTGTTCCACCACAATCCACAGGAGGGAACCCTTCGCTAGAGATTATAATTGACTGGATTTGCTCTGGAATTCAGGACACAATTCCCATCTGTCTCATGTGGTTGACAGTCCAACACACGTTTTGTGGTGAACGTCAATCGGTTAAAAAGATTCTCACCCGAGTTTGATCGAAATACTCGGTTCCTATGAACGTGCGAATAAGATCATACAACAAAAATAATAATCATTGCATTCGATAGTGCACCTTTCACATCGGGAGGGGGGGGGGGGGGGGCGTCTCAAAGCTCTTTCCAGGCTTTCCTGTAAAGTGTAGAGAATGTGTATTTTGTCCGTACAGCAATGTCCCGTGTCGTGAATGACTGGTTTTATCTGGAGGATTGTTGGCCAGGATACCGGGAGAATTCCCTTCTCTTTTCAAGTAGTGCCACAGAAACTAACATTCACCTCAACACGTAAACAGGTTTAACGTTTCATCTGAAGGACAACACTCCCAACAGTGCAACTCTTTCCCCCCCATCCACCAGCACTCACACTGTCAGCCTGGACTATATAAGATCTTGAACTTACAACTTTCTGACTCAGAGGCAGGAATGCTAACAGTGACTGAGCCAAGCTGACATCTAGCATTATAATAATAATAATAATAATCCTTGCATTTGATATAGCGCTTTTCACGTCGGGAGGACGTCCCAAAGCGCTTCACAGAACACACTGTAAAGTGAATTGACTGTATATTTGTGGGCGAACGCGGCAGCCAATTACGCACAGCAATGTCCCACAAACAGTCATAGATTGAAAAAGACCAATTTTTATTATTGTTGGTTTTGGAGGGATTATTATTAGGCTCTGTGTGGAGTAAGGAAACTTGCCCAAGGTTTGGCCCTCTGCCTGGAATTGAACTCAGGTCTCTCACTTGCAAAGCGAGTGCGCTCTAGCCACTGAGCTACAGGACTCCACAATTATACACAGAAGAAAGCAATAAAGTGCCTTAATTCAAAATAGCGCCCCTGCCCCCCCCCTCCCCCCACTACATAACCAGCACAACAACAAAAACAGCTTGCATTTATCTAGCGCCCCTCACTCTGGGTAATGTTCCAGAACGCTTTCTTCCACATTTGCTTTCCCCGCGGCTCTCTGTGTGAGCTCACCATCTCAGTACTATTTTTGCTGATGATTGAGAGTTTTGTGCTTTGTAGCCGGGTTCC